TGATAATTACTAGTTCAAAATTAGTAATCTTTTACATTAATGCATCAGTGTAGTGGAGTAACAGTCAAAGTGGACATTTTTTCATTTTCTAGTGTGTTTCAGTACTTTTAAATAAGTAAACAAATACTTCCTCCACCAGTGTTGATAGCTGAATTATTGATTTATTGTCCATAGATCTACTCCGTCTGTAATTTATGCTAGCTGTCATATTTGAGCTTGCCCGCTGTTTCCCTAAATGTCTCAAATTATTCAACAGTGTGCAAGAATCCTGAACGTCCTATAGAAATTACAACGCCTCACTTCCCACTGATTTTAAATGACACTCCTCCTGAAGCTGTTCTCTGTTTCCTGAAAATGTTAAATGTTTTTACACATTTTTTTCTGCTCACTGATTTACTGGATGAAAATGGTCTCCAGGTAACCGAAGCCTGTGTTTGCTCAGGTCTGTGCCCGTTGTTTAACTGAAGTGTCAGTCACTATCTGTTCAGAGTCGCTGGTTTATATTACAGAGGTCATCTTTCAGCCGTGACGGTGAGATGATGTCAGCGTGAACTCAGCACAAGACAGATCTCCTGACCCTCATCTGTTACTTAAGTAAAGGAAGTAATACATTTGTGTAAAAGTACTCCGTTAAAAGGACCACGTTCAAAAATAACTGTCCTAAAGTAGGCTCAAAATGTAGTAGTAGTAGTAGTAGTAGTAGTAGTAGTAGTAGTAGTATCTCTGTGTTATATACAGTATTTTATAGGATTACTGATGCTTTAATATGTAAGCAGTGTTTTTGTTGTTGGATGTGAAGCTTCACGTGTCTATAAGGTAAATATGACACATTATTTGATGGTTTCTTTTACCCAAACAGAAACCAAAGTGTCAATATTAAAAGTGGTAGTTTATGTAATTAACTACTTATTGGCCGGGACCGGTTGCCAGGCAACAAGTGGAAACTCCAGGAAGTTACTTGTGCTGATTTCATGACACTTTTCTTTCATTGTAATGTGTTGATTAGTGAACTGTATTGGTGGTGGTTGGCAGATTGCCCTCAGACTGAGCTAGGCCAGCTGTTTCCCTACTTTCAGTCTTTATGCTAAGCTTCATATTTATCGTACAAGAATGATACCGATCTTTTCATCACACTCTCGGCAAGAAAGAAAATATTTTACAAGATATTCGACTAGTTAAGTGCGATACTTCAGTTGATGTATATAATTACATCCCACCACTGTATCTGTATCTGTATCTGTAGGTGTCTGACAGCCCCTTATATCAACTACCATATCTATCTGTTGCTATGAAACGATACAAAATGTGACTTTTCCTGCCCCAAAATGCCTTAAAATTGTTGAATTCACAGGATAAACGCCATCAACTCCATTTCCACGGCAGCTGGAGTGATCTGTGGAGGGTCTGCAGGAAAGCCACATGCTTCAGGCAGCCAATGGGAACTGAGGGTGAAAACAGCGGGAAGTGAGCTGGAAAATGGGATTAAATATGCACGAAGCTTCACCAACATACCAAAGGGGGGGCTAACGGTTCAAGAGCCGGGGTGGCTGTTGCTTAAAGTGGTGTCCAGATGGAGAAGTGGTGTCACCCTGCATGGAGAATCCTACTCCCTCAAAACCTCTTCCCAAAGTCACCCACATTAGAGTCTCCAGAGGAACCTTTGTGTCCTCTGCAGAAGCACCAGTGTTCCTCCTCGGACACCTGCAATGAACTATTTCACAGGCTCTGCTCCCGAAGGTCTTCAATGTCACGCTTTGATGCCTGTTCCCTCGTGAATGCCGCGGTGGTTGTGGTGGCGGTGGCGTTCCTTGAGTCAGCAAACAGTAAAACACGCAGCTGTGGAGAGGAGGGCCTGCTTGAATGTCACTGCAGCAGCCACCGGCGTCACAGAGTCTCCCTCCTGCTGTCACTGGAGCGCACGGTGACGGCTGCTCGTACCCTCGGTGTTGCTATAATATCCTATGTTTCTCATGCAAAGATTGTGTGTGTGTGTGTGTGTGCTGTGTGTGTGGTGTGTGTGTGTGTGTTGGTCAGGATAACAAAGGTGAAGAAACATGTCCATTTTGATTAAAACAGGGTTCTCAAACTGGCTTGGGGCCACTGTTGACATTGTCACTTTAAAATACTACAAGAGAGCAATATATTCTGAAAATATGTTCACTACTAACATACTGCAGCATAAAGTTTCTACAGCCAAACGACAAATAAAGGCCCAAAACCTGCCCTCTGCTCTTATCGACACATATTTTATTTTATATCGGGGTAGTTTAAATTAGTATGAAACAACTACAAATAATAGTTAATCTAAATGGAGAGCTATAAAAGGCCCTCGGGACACAAGTTTGGGGTCCATTATGTAAAGGGGTGAAGGAAAACTAACATTAATAACAGGAGATTAAAGATTAAAGGGGCAGTACGTGCTCTCTTTAGCCCTAGCCCCTTAGTGTTTGTCAACCGTGCAGGATGGTTTCAGTTTTACTGTGTCATAACCTTTGAGATTTTTTCCTCAATGCTCATTTGTTTATCTTTTGTGAGTTAGATGAGACAATCAATACCTCTCTTGTGTCAGGTCTGGCAGATGTGTTGCGGAGCCCTCAGGCTGGTTATCTGATAGTAGCACAAGATAACAGAAACGAGGGAAAACAGTTAGCCTGACCTATCTAAAGATAGACAGAATCTGGCCAACCAGCTCCTCTAGAAGCTCAGTTCATCAACGGATTATAATCTCATTTGTTTAAACAGTACAAAAAACTAAAGTTAATAACGATAATGTGCTGTTTGAAGGAGGTTCTATGTCCAGATATTTGTGACTAGCGAGCAGTTGCCTGGCAGACCAGCGGAGACGCCAGAATGCACAAAAAAAACTGAAAACCAGTAAATGAATGGTATTTATGAGTATTAAATAATCATATATACTGTTCATTAGTG